CTATCCTCGGCAAAGGGAATTTGTCTTTGGGACAGGCTCGGTTGAGGTCTGTGAAGTCAATACAGATCCACCATTTCCCATTAGGTTTCTTTACCATAATCACGTTTCACAACTAGTTAGGGTAATGTACCTCTCGAATGAAGTCGACGTCAAATAGCTTGTCAACTTCTTCTCTTATAGCCTTCCAACGCTCCGATGCAAAGTTCCTCTTTCTTTGCCAAATTAGCCTAGAACTCAACTTGCGAGTAATGACTAAAGGGTCAATTCTGGGCATGTCAGCAGCAGACCAAGCAAAGACGTCGACATTAGTTCTGAGGAAACTTACCAGTTCAGATAGGCTTTGTAGGAGAAGGTTGAACCTGACATGGATTGTTTTCTCAAGCTCGACCTCGTCTATGGGGACCGAGACAAGGTCCTCAGCTAGTTGGCCTCGGCTAGTTGGTTCCTCCCCAAGGTCAAGGCCCTCGAGTAGCAGGGTTTCCTTGTTCTTGCCCTTTAGTGTTGCCACGTAACACTAACAAGTGACTTGTTGATCCCCCCAAATGACTCTGACGTCGTGTTTAATGAGGAATTTAAGGGCGAGGTGGTAGAGGAGATGATTGCCTTGAGGGTTGGCCTCCTGATGATGGCATTGTAGGGGGAGCCAATCCTCATGACCAGGAACTCGTTCATCCACGTCACCTGTTGAGGCTCTATCCCTACCATGACGGTAGGGTGGTTCTTGCTTTCGGCCTAACCACATTGTCGGAGAAGCTAACGAGTGGGACATTGGTGGGCTGAAGGCGCTCAGGTGTCAGCTTCATCTTCTCAAATGCATCGTAGAAGAGGATGTCAGTTGAGGAACTGTTGTCTACTAGAATCCTCTTCACCATGAAGTTCGCTACGACGGTTGAGATCACGAGCGCATCGTCATGGGGGACTGTGACCCCCTTCAAGTCCTCGTCTGTGAACGTGAGGGGTTCTTCTTGGTTCGGCTTCTTGGGGGTTGGCCCCTGGATGCCCAGTTGGCTGACATAGGCTTTGTAGGCCGAGGCTCCGCCCATGGCTGTCCCCTCAGCGATGACGTCTATGACGTCGAAGATGACCTCTTTCCCGACCTGCATGAGGATCTGCGTTAGGGTGGAGTTGAGAGGCGTATACTAGTTGTAAGCCAGGGCTAAGGCCGATGGCTTTTTGTGGTCCTTGTTGTTGTTGTTGTTGTTGTTGCGGTTGTCTCCATTGCTTCTCTTCTTCTCCGAGCCTCTAGGGTGGCAGTTGACCTTTCCTCCGGACGATCACCGACTGAGGCCTCCTCGGTAGCGATGTACTTTTGGGCCTTCTTCAAAAATTTTGCCTTGTAATTCGGAGAGGTCTTGGCTACCGAGCACTTGAGGGCCAAGCCGGGCAGGAGGCCGTTAATGGCGGTGTGCATGGAGACCATGGAGTCAAGGTCCCGGACCTCGAGCTTCTCTTTCTTGAAGTGGTCAATTTCGGACCGTAGACTCTCTCTACGCTTTTGTCGAATGGCCATCAAGGAAACGACACTCTTCTAACATCACTTGTTGCTGATGAAGTGGGCGAGGAAGAGGCTGGTGAATTCCTCCCATGAACCAATAGAGCAAGGGAGCCCAGAAAACCATCGGCGGGCTGCCCCTTTGAAGGTCGCCAGGAAAGTCTGGCACGCCAGGGCATCAGAGTATCCATAAAGGAGCATGAGCGCTTTGAAACTCTCCAAGTGGTCGTCCAACGTTGGTGCCTTGAAGTGTGGGGGGAGAGGCTCGAAAATGATGTCCGAGGTGAAGGCATCCATCCTCCCAAACGAATGGTTCTGGCTGGCCGAGGCCTCTACTCGGCTCTCTCTAACTTGGCGAAGCTCGTCCTTGATGGCTCTAAGCTATGCTTTGAGGTCAACGATTCATTGGTCGAGGGGGTCGGGGCCCCATCCTGGTCCTCTCGAACTCAACGGGAGTCGACCCGAACCCCTGAATACTTTGATGCGGGCCTACGTCCATTTCTCCTAGCCTACTTGTCATTCAGGAGGTCTGAGACACAAGGAGAGGCACGGCGTCGACCCTCGACCCTCGAAAGGGGGCTATGATGGCCAGACCACCCATCTTCGTCCCAAGATTTTTCTCTTCGACGGTGGTGATGTTGTTCTTGGCGGTTGGCTGGCACGACAGCTGCTATCAAACTCCGAGGGGTCGACCCAGTGAAAGTCAATTGGATCGAGGGCTAATTAGTCTACGGACACATGCTTACCCTAGTGGCCAAAGCTCTTGGCAGGGCGGCCACCCTGGGGGCGGCATCCTACTTGGGGGTACCCGTCGTCATTCCGCTAGGTGAGGTGGTCCATTCTGTCAATGACCGCTTGGAGTTATTCTGTTATGAACAAGTTCTGGGCGTTCCTCATGTTCCTTACCATATCAACTAAAACTTAGGCTTAGGAGTCGATTCTTTTAGTTTTTAAGGAAGTTTGATTAAGGGAAGTCTTAGTAACGTTTCCACAGACGATGCTAATTGTTGATGCTCAAAATGGACCGAGGACAACACTGTCAATTTGCTCCTAAGCCGAGGTGTGATCGAGGTGTCCGAGGTCCAAGGTGGCTGAGGACTAGTAGGTCGGTCCTACAAGGAGTGAATGAAAAGGAGGGTGTCAGAGGCCTCGGGTCGGTTCCTAAGGCAAAGACTCCAACACTCAAGTTAGTATGAAGGGTATGAGGTGGACGAGGTCCGAGGTGTGAGCACTCAGATGAGGCCACAAGAACTCAGTGCTAGGTAGAGAGTTTCAATTCCAATCCCTTACCTTAAGGGGGTACACCTTCTATTTATACTTGAGGTCATCGTCCGTATGCAAGGAGTGCGGTCATCCGAGGTCGCCAAGTAACGTTGCGCCATTGGTTTTGGAATACACACCAAGCTCTATTCCACCCGCACCCTGATTAGGTCCGCTCTGGAGGCTGTTGCCTAACATGTGCTGCCCTGCCATTGGGCGTGGCCACATGTGCCTACATCAATATATATTAAAGGGAAATCTACTACCATTTGGCTACACTTAGAAACAACACAAATAAGTGTGAATGCAAATATATAGTGTAAAACGATTCATATAAATTGTAAAATTGGGTTAGTTTTGCACTAACAAATTTACCTTCTTACCAAACAGACTTTTAGCTGTTATAGATGCAAACATGAATTCCAATAAAGCATATGTATTTTTTTTTATCAAAAGCCCACTTGAATACAAATTTACTTCTTTTTTATTGATGTACTTTTACATCTTATTATCAATGCATAAATGTAATGTTGCTAAACACAGACAAAAGTGAACCAGAGTGCAAATTTACTATGAATCGAGATTTACACTCCATTTGCATCGCTTCCAAACATAGCCTCCCCAAGGGACAGGAGAGATAACATAACATGACTATGACCTGTACATGTCCCTTTCCTTTTGGGCCTAAAAATTCTGACCCTGGGCTGAACCATCCTTCTCCCTTCCTTTTTCTTTCTACCGAAAGATTGAAAGTCCTTCTCCCTTCCTTTTTCTTTCTACCGAAAGATTGAAATTTGGAATTACATTTGAAAGGCTTGTACTTTTGTCCATGCCAAATTAATTCACAAGTACTACCAAGTGTAATTTATTTTCATGTATGGACCAAAATGTGCCAACCTTGAATCTATGTACTCGTTTCAGTGCAACTTTTGAACTAGATACAAATTTCACACCCTATTCAAACCCTTGTTGATCTGGACAGTTAGACGGTTCAGCCCAAGGACCATCCAGGCAACCAGTTCCATTTTACCCCAAACCTAGTCTCTGGCCAAAAACCATTAAATTGGTCAATAACCTGCTGACCCATTTTACCCCAAACTCGTTCAACAGTTTTTGGTTGTTTTTATTTTAATTATTTTTTACTTTTTCATTGAAACAGGCCATCCATTTGAACTGGGCAGTCAAACCATCAACCCGAAAACCGATGGCCAGAACGGTTCCAGTTCTAGGTTGGTTTTTAAAACCTTGAATTGTTTGTAGCTATAAATTGCACTCCTATCTGATACAAAATTTGTACCTTTTTACTCATTTGCAGTGCAAATTTTGCATCCAAAAACTCGTGCAAAATGTGCACAACCTTCCTCCTCTCCCAATGATCTCTCACATATAGTAGGAAGTGGGAACTACATCTTACTTCTTACCTAACTTCCAAACAAACTCTCCTACCTCCATTTTCTTATGTATAAAAGGGGAACTGTTTCATTTTATTTCTCAGAAACAAATGAGATAAAAGTAAAATCTGAAGCAAAAGTGTAAATCAGAATTTACATTCAACCTGTTTGTAACCCCATACATTTACACCAGTGCAAATGAAATTGGCATTGCAAACATGTATCGTGTAGGTCAGTATGTCACTCCACCAATGCATCCCTGGAAACTACTTGGAAAGCCAGTGATCTCGTAGTTGAGTTGGTTACATCAAATGACATCCCTCCCAGAATGCAAGCGCGGAATTCGCACTTTGCAGGCTCTCTCCGTAGTGTGGCCAGAGCACTGGGGCTCATGGGCATTTAGACCATTTGGTTATGATTTCTTTTTTCTATTATTGTAGCTTGTCATCATCACATTAAAATTAACTTAATTGTCATCCCTCGAGTCCCCGGCATTCCTTCAGATAATAAAATTAAGAGCATGTGCAAATACCTGAACTGAATCGTAACTAGATACTAATGACTAACAAAGAACAGTTCAGTGGAATGTGTACTCTTCATCATCAATTCCCCAAACAAGAACATGTCTCCCTTCTCATCTCCAACAAACAGGCCACTTCCCCTGTAGTCAGCAGAAGGGAAAGAAAAAAAGCAAAGTTAGGGGCCAGTTTACAACTGAGAATGCTTCAGTAATAAGTTTGTGCACATATAAAGACATGTTTTATAGAACAGGAGAGGGGAGGGCGGGGGGAAGAAACATACCTTACGATGTCTCTGTTTCAGAAAATGGTTTCCACTCAGGCAAGTGAAACTTCTTATTAGTCAAAAGAAAATTATAATTTCCTCTCAAACCATACATGGAGATTACAAAAGTAGGATATTAAAATATAAACTTTTAGTACAGGGGTAAAGATGTTATATCTGGATGACAAAGGCTATCACCAATTCACATTCAACTCCAGAAACCCAAATCTGAAAGTGAAACTTCCAACTGAAATATAGTAGCTTGGGTTTCAGCAACTGTGGCCTCTACCAGAGGAATGTATCTTAATATTAAGCAAAAAAACCCTCCTTAAGGTCACTTGAAGCAGCAGCAGTCATGGTGTCCCAATGGATCAGATCTACAATTCTCCATTCCAAAACTCAAAATAGGGCACTCAGCTCTCAGCATTTAACCTAGACAATTGTTTTTTGTGTGAAGTTTCAGTCATTCAGTGATTCAGAACAATACACATCAAATTATGCACCTGGTTCTCATTCATTGTCATCAATCCAATCACCATATATCCTGCTGATCTTGTCTGGGCCTTTCCACTTCTGAAGAGGCCTCTGCCCTGGCCTCTGATTTAAAACTGAAGTCCTTTGAGGTGGAATCCCCATGTACACATCTGAATGTGGAACTGAGGCCATAGATGCAACCACAGTATCTGTTTGAGTCTTTGATGCCACCGCAACCTGCTTTGAGTCTGGAGGAGCTGAAGAAGAATCTCTACCCTCCACCTCCACAAGCCCTCCACCATATCTGTGTAATTCTGTTGCACGAGTAATTAGATAACAGAGCTATTCATAGGATATTTAGTACATAAAGTCCATCTAAGACAAGATATCTTGGATCTATGTTTAGTACATTATGTAAGGATAAGCAAAGCATGTTAAAGGTTCTTCCTACGAACTTAGGAACCAGATAGCTCCGTCAAAATGATAAATTTAAGGTCAAACCCAGATGACATATTTTTGTGCAAACACAATGCATCATAGACCTTACCCACAACCTAATCAACCTTGACAGCTCATATGGTAAGGTATGCTCCAATGGGCCATAACTAGAAAAACCAAGCCATAGCCAATCCTAACCTCCAATTCATGTGCCAGTGCCACCCTGTTCTTCCATCATTCTAAGTTGTGGCTTAAAATTATGACCAGTACAATTTTGGGATACATCAATATTAACATCTTTTAAACATAAAAAGTAAAAAAAGAACTATACATTTGCCAAAAGTTGAGTAGTAGAAACCAATAAAAAAAGTGTCGAGTAATACAAGATTTTGCATTATAATCAAGTCCAGATTCCAAGAGGTGAATTCCAGGTTAAAGCATGAAATATTCTACGGCACTACATGTTTTTATAAACCGAATTTGGGTGGACTAGAAAAGGAATTCACAATGTAGGTTGGCTTTGAAGTGGAGTATGGCCCATTTGCTAGGGGAAAATATCATTTCTAAATAATCTGTGGAGTTGACTCACATAAGTAATACCTCCAAGCCAACAATTTATAGGTCAGGATCACCTTGGTCCTTGGGTGCTAACAAATGTAGGTAAAAAAACGTCATAAATCAAGTCATGCAGTTAGGCCCTAATCTCATTCTCCCGAGTTTGTGGCAGCTAGGGATATGGTTAACCTATGACATGGAGCCAAGAGATGTGAATATTTTCATTGAACCAAACTGGACTGACATAAACAAATGGCGAAGTAGTGATTCCTTGGACTGCATGAAGTTTTCTTTTTTTTTTTTAATCAGAAAGAAGCTACTACTTATACTCTTAAGTAAATCATTTTAAGAATCTAATATAATATGATTTCTAACTAAAGTTTATAATCCAGCTTTCCAAAATATATCCTTACTAGCAGGGAAAGAAAAAAAAATTGCTAAATCATTCATACCTCCTAGACCATGAGCAAAATGGCATTTGCTTCCAAAAGGGCAATAGCCTGTCATCTCCCACTTGTTGCAAATCCTTGTCTTCCAGTTTGAAGGCTTCTGGTTTGGTCCATTCCCACTATTACCATACCCACTCCCAATCGTGGGGCCCAAACTTATTGCTACACTTTCCCGGGCTTTTGACTGTTCATCATGAAGGAAAGTGCAATTATCTCCATATGGGCATCCCTCATCAGTGTAGAACTTCTTGCAGTGCCGCCCTTTATAAGACCTTTGTGTCTCCCCACCCAAACCAGAGGAGCTAAGAGATGGAATCTGGTGTTCCTCCCTTGGTTCTGAAGAGACACCCCTGTCCTCGTCTTGGGCAGCTACAATCTCTTGCCAATTGGGAGGAGGCTTGCGAAGTTCTTCAATTCCATGAGCAAAGTTGCAATTAGTAATGTAAGGACAGGTCCCAGCACGAAATTTGCAACATAATTTGGTTTTAAAGAACATCTTCCCAATGGCTTTGGATCTATTAGAAGAGGGTAAATCACGATCTCTACTGAATCCACTTCCCTGGGAATCTCCTACTTGTGAGTTCCTAGATTTCTTGTTGGGAGGTTCACTCCCAGATCGAGTTTGGGACTGTCTCCCATCATAATTCGAGTTAGACGGAGTGTCAGCAGAGGCATCTCCATTCCAAACCCCATAATCATCCTCCGTTGCCCAAATCGCCTGGTCGTTTAAACCTGGAATCCAATTGTCGACACCACCGCTGCCAGGGATTTCTGGTATTATCTGGCCAACATTTCCACCGGAGAACCCAGCTTCTCCACCATAATCCATGAGCAGAAGAAACCCACCAAGCCAATTTTTTAACAAAATGAGAAAAAAAAAAAAAGAAATAACCAAGAATAAAGAATCCGATAGTCAAAATCTTTATACTCTGCTTACGAACATGGATTCCCACAAACTGAAATCACCTAAAAGATTGATCCAGATAAGAAATCAAAAGAACCATTAATGGAAATGAGCACAAACAAACCCTAGGAATCATGAATTATACTAAATTCCTAAATGGGACTCCACAAACCCACCCAGAACTCAAAACAAAACTCGAGCTCCAACAATAATATCAATTCTCAACTCACTCAGGCAACAACGACAAGAAATACAAGCAGAAACGAGATAGAGCCAACACCCCAACCGATTACGCAAAAGACATAATACAACACTTGACTCTGATCTACCACCACATAAATTCGGTCCAAAATGATTAAAAAAGACAAACTATTCTAAAATTAAAGAAACCCACCTACAATAACTGAAATCCCGGGATCAAATCGGAAAATAAAAACATCTTAATCCGGAGATTTAACAGAAGAAAGAAAAAGAAAAAAAAAAGAGCTTACACGAACACTTACAAAAAGAAATCAAAAGAACTCGAAGATCTGAGCTGAAACGGCAAATTCACTTTTAAGGTGAAGCAATGGAGAAGACTACAGCGCCTTTTTCATGGAGGTAAAGAATTGTAATCTAATCAATGAGAAAGGTAAAGTGTGTATAGTCTCTTACTCTCTCCCCCAAAAAGAAAGAGATAAAATCATAAAAAAGGATTTTTGCAGCGTCACAGTCTGTTTAACGGAGGAGAGAGACAGAGAGGTCCATTTTTGGCCAGTTCTCCAACGTGGAGAGAGAGAGGGTGATTCGAACTCCAAAGCTCCAAGACTCTAAAAGAAAGTCTACATAGAGCGATTATTTTATCTTTTAACAAATGGATAAATTTTTATAAAAAAAATAAATGAATAAAATGGGAGAATGACCAATCAGCCCAGATCAGAATTTTATATCCCCGTAATATAGAAAGAATACATCCTGACCGTGAATTGATGTCAAATTCATGGGTAGGATGTGATTTATAGGGGAGAGGGTTAGTAATAGAAGGGGCAGAAATTCAGAATTCTGCATCCGTAAAATTTAATCCATTCAGTGAATCTTTTATTTTTTTAAAGCCTAATCAATCTGGTGAACGAGCGAGTTTGTATGTATTATTACTTTAATTTTCTACAAATACATGAGCTCATTTTATATCGAATTTTCCTATTAAAAGGATTAATTAGATCAGGTTTGCCTTAAACATAAAATGATCACATAACGTTTTTCCATAATTGCTTTTTCTATCTATAAAAGTCGTTTTGACGATTATCTCCATTTTAACTCGAAGGATTTTTTGTTTTTAAGTTCACATTAAATGGCGCCATAGATTACTGGTTAGTGGTTACCGTCTCTATCTTTCTTACCCGAAACCCAATCGGACCTCTTTTCTCTCTATCGACATTGGCTCGCTAAATTGAAAAGAAAAGAAAAGAAACGAAAACTTAAAACGGATCAATTCAGGAAAATCAAGTTTATATTATTATTTCAAATTGGAAAGCCCATTTTGATGATGGAAGCAAGTGTATTCTTATTGTTTGAAAATTGTCTACTTCTATTCTTATTGTTTCTGATAATTGATTAATATTTCTCTTTTCGTTAATGTTCCGTCATAAACCATTCAAATGTGTCATCACGTGACTGTTATAACTTTTAAAAATATCAAACTTATCCTTTTATGTTCGAAAATACCCTTTTCATTTTGGTTGAGCCAATCACCGGTATCAACTCGAGAGGGAGAAGGAGAGGGAATTGGACCGAAGTTGGTTATCTCTAGCACCAACACTGTTGTCTACATCAACCCCCTCCAGCATCGGTACATTTGTGGCAAGATCGGCAGTAGGTTGGAGATCTCAAAACTTTCGAAGAGGTGTCCAGATCTATTGAGTATATCTTAGATCTGCAAAGAACCCATTTAGTCCATTGTCCGCCGCTTCGGTGTATGTACTCAGAGTCGCTGGTCAGAGAAAGGGTCTATAAACCCCTATAGAGAGAAAGGGTCGAAGCAAGGGTCTTTAAACCTCTTTATAGAGAAAGGGTTGGAACAAGGGTGGAGGCATCGATTAGAGCAAGGGTCTATAAACTCCTCCAGATAGTTTTTTGATTAACAAGAAGAATCATTGGGGTCGGGTTTAGCTCTACCAAGGAGAAACCATCCAAGGATGAGAAGTAGGAAATCAGCATGAAGGCACCAGTCTTGCGAGTTCCTATAGTGATGGTTCCCAAGGGGAGTAACTCAGTAGTGATAGGGGACTGGGAGGTGGCAGCAAAGAAAGTGATTTCCATCAAGAGGGCAAACCAAGACGATGACGATGAGTCGACTAGGGAAGTTTTGCTCTGTTGCCTCGAGAGGATGATGACGATGAGTCTTTTAGTTTTCTTTTAGTTCTCTAAGTCTCTCTTTAGCCATGGATTTGAAGTTTTTTATCAAGAAGGGATGGCATACAGGGAGCCTTTGGAACATAGAGAACGTCTAAAAGGCGGAGCAAAAGCATGAAGTTAAGTAGTAGAAGTTGGAAGAGCTCCACAAGAAGATCCAAGAAGAGAGAGAGTGCTCTGAATATCCGTCTTTGTTTTTCCATAGCAAAAGTGCTTTGATGTGTACTCTTCTCTTGTTTACAAATCGAACCTGCCGGCCTTGGACACCAGTGAAATGTCCTTGTTGCCCTCAACCTCACATTTGGCATCAACAATTGGTGCCGTTTGTGGGAACATTTTCAAGATTTCCCTTTAAAAACAACTTAACTTAATCAATCAAGTTTCTGACATGGTCGATAAGCAAGACCACACTTATAATGCTCAGAACCTAGTCACGATGGATTCAAGCTGGTCCTTGACAGGCTGGACAACCTAGTTCAGAAGTTGGATGAGGTAGGGCGTTCGACAGGAGGCAATCCATAAGGTGGCCACCCTATCAAGAGCCAGGGGCAATGAAATACATGTGCTAGTTACGAGTCCTAACACTTAGGGGACCACATACATCACTATGTATAAGGTCAAACGTGCCTGTACATCTTTCAGGCTTACCGTTAAATGGCCGTTTTGTCATCTTACCCTGAAGGCAAGGCTCACAAGTGGGAAGATCTTCTACAGTTAGAAAATCCAAAAGACCATCATTTACCAACCTTGTGATACGGTCAACACCGATATGGCCAAGTCGGAAATGCCACAGGCACGTGGGATTAACTGTATCACGGATTCTTTTCTTGGAGATATTATCCGACGTAGTTTCGACTATGTTAGTTTCTAGAGAAGGATGTAGAACATAGAGATCGTTCTCCAGTTCCTCGTATGCGATGAATCTGTTGTTTCTTTTAATAGTAATCGTATTACTAAAGAAGACATAATAACCATCAGCACACAGTTTTGAGACAGAAATCAAATTTCTTCTTAAATTCTGTACAAAAAGATAATCTTTGAGTACAATTATTCATTCTCTAAAAATTAACTCTATGGTTCCTATAGCCGTAGCTGCAACACTTGCAGAAGTCCCCAAGTAAAGTGTTACTTTTCTTTCACTCAGCCTTCTGCTTACCTTGAACCCCTGTAGTGAGTTACACGCATGAGTTGAAGCCCCAAAGTCAATACACCAAGACGCAAAAGCAACCAACAAATTGATTTCTATGACACAAGATTCGAGATTACCTTTCTTGGATTCCAGGTATTGAGGACAATTCCTCTTCTAGTGGCCGGTCTGCTTGCAATAGTGACAGACATCTGATGCCTTGTCCTTCCTCTGCTTCTTGGGTTTGGTGGCCTTCTTCTGGGGCTTTCTCTTTGCCCTCATCTTCTTGCCTGATTTGCCTGCTTCAACAAGCATGGCAATGGGTTCATCCTTCTTAATCAATTCCTTGGACCTCTGCAACATATTGTTGAGTTCTTACAAGTTGACATTCAGCTTGTTCAGGTTGTAGTTCATGATGAATGGATTGAAGGACGGAGGCAAAGAGTTGAGAATAGCATCGATTTGAGTTACTAGATCCAGCCCGGATCCAAGAGCCTCCAGTTCGTTGATATAACCCATCATCCGAAGACAATGGTCGTGAAYYTGTTGGCCCTTGGACATCTGCGCGGTCATGAACTGTTTCAAGACCTTCTGTCGAGTAGAACGATTCTGCTCTTCATACATTGTCTTGAGACTGTCCAATATGTCCTTGGCAAGTTCGATCTGATCGAACTGCCTCTGTATTGGATTATCCAATGAGGCAATGATATAGCAACGGGCAAGGGAGTTTTTCTCCTCCCATTCTTGGTATTCTCTCATTCGGGCCTCAGAAGCCCTATCTCCTGGACGATCCGGGGCAGGATTCTTGGCCACCTTATTTAGTTTCTCAGAGGTTAAGACCAGCATAAGGTTTCAGTACCAGTCGACATAGTTTGGGCCTTTAAGCTTGTTGTCGTCAAAAAGCTTTGCAAACTGTCCGTTTGCCATTTTTTGATAAAAGAGCAAACATCAGTCCACAACCTAATTTGATTCATGTTCATTACATAGATATGGCTTTTAATTTATGCTCCATTCCCATTTGTTCATCTCTGAGATTTTCCTCCTATCTCAGTGACGGAGACAACGACTTGTCTCTAGAAATGTGGGAAACCACATAAGGTGCATGGAGCCAACTGTTTCAACTGCAAAACCCCACCACCTTTCTGTGAAGGATCATATCCACTCATCGTATGAGCTTTCCCTTTGGCCTCTGTGAGACAAGGTTCATAGCCATTTTAGGTTAAACCTTTCTGTCCGGTGAGTGCTCACCCATCATATTTGTGAATGCCAAGGTACTGTGGGAGAGTTCCCATTTTTTGGTGAAGCCCCTCCCACATCGGTCTATGACGCCCCTATCATCTTATGAAACACTCAAACAAATCCAACAACAAATGGATAACCCATTTTCAGATGCGTTTCCTCATTACTGAATGACCCATCTTCATGCTAATGATGGAAGGCCTTTAGAGAGTTCATCATATGAATCTCCCTATCACATGCACTCATATTGCTGGAGGGAATTACGCCCTAGTTTAATTTAGGTCAAACCAAAGTGGCTTCCACTGACTTTCATAACGCCAGATTTCGGTGGGCCCTAATTGACTAGGGTTTCGCACATATCCTCTTCAAAAGGTGTGGGGCCCACCACTGAGGGAGATCATCCAATGATCTTTAGGGACACCATGGCAATGATGTGCATTCAGCCATGGTGTGCTTAAGAGCCACTGTCGAATCTGCACGGGCCAAGTACTTATGGCCCATGAATGTTGCAAATCACACATCCATACATCACATGTAGGGATAAAGTGATCCAATCAATTAAATATCTATAAGGCCCACAGTTAAAACCCATTTCAATCCATAACATTAACAATTAACATTATCTAGGTATATGGGCCGAATTAGGGTTAAGTAGTTCGGCCCATATAGCTTTTTCTACAAAAGTGGGCATTTAGCAATTTTAACAATTTAAAACTGGGCCTTACAGGTTGGGCCGGATTAAACTCTTAATTAATTATCAATCCTTAGGCCCATCAGTGGGAAATTAGGGCTGACAATCAGCCTCCATCGAACCCTAGATCCGGTCCAACCAGTTTGGACCAATCTGGTTCGAATGGTCTAGGGTTTGATCTTTAATTAAGGATTTAATTCAAGAAAATGATCTGGAATTAAATACTGATCAAAGAAAAGCAAGAATCAGTCCAGAGGGGTTGTTCGCACATCACATCCTACAAAACATAGGTTAGATCACAGAATGTTGTTTCATAAACTACAAATCACATATTGCG